GGGGGGGGGGGGGGGAGCGCGAGTGGGGCGGCTGGTCAACCCCTGGTCAATACGTGATGTCACGGCCAACCCAGACACGGGAGCAGGTTGGGTGGGCCTGCCGCATCTTCGGCAACTGCAAAGACGCGCTCACCCATCACACAATTTTCATCGTCTGCTGGCCTGCCAACCACTTATCAATCCGCTGCCCGCACCAAGCAGCGGCCTCTATTGAGCGTCATCGTACTGCACGTTCCCCCGGTCTCAGCACCCAACCATGCACACAGTGCAGCCAACTTGCGCACGCATGCATGAACGGACTCACTGAGTGGCACGCAGCCACTTGAACCTATGCGCACGCGTGCACACGCACGCACACGCACGCACACGCCTGCACGCATGCAATACGTGCATACACGTGCACACGCACAGATGCACGCATGCGCATACTCCCCCTTGTGACGGTTTCTGGCTTCGCTTCCAACCACCCGCACCTTGCCTGCCCTCCCGCCAGGCCTGGCTTCAGCCCCAGGGAGCTCGTGCTTGATGACCTGAAGCGGCTGCCCTACCTTTCATCGGCCCTCAAGGAGGCGATGCGTATGCTGCCGGTGGTCTCCATCATGGGCAGGTGGGGCGGGTGGGTGCTGCGCCTCCAGGGTGCGCCTCCTGCAAGACGGGTGTTTTTGGTGTCACAAAGAGATTGGGGGTAGCGGCAGCCTTGATACAAGCGCCCATGTTTATTCAAACCATTGTGATTCAAGCAGGCTGCCGAGGCGCAGCGCAGGGATCTTTGACTCTTGGCCCTTTGACAGCAATGCAGCCCCGAGGCTCCGACCGGCTATCTTGGACTCATGCACTGCCTGCATGCAGGGTGGCTGAGAGGACCGTCAAGGTGGGGCCCTACACGGTGCCACCTGGCACCATCGTGGCGACGCCGCTGTTCGCTATCCACAACACCAAGCACAACTGGGACGCGCCGGAGGAGTACAGGTGCAGGGCGCCGCGTGTGGCATGCCCGCACATGGGCTGTGGATTGTGTGTCTCTTTTGGTTTATGACCTGCATAGCCCCAGCATGTTGCGACTTCTGCCATCCAAGGTGCCTAGACGCTCTCCCATCACAAGCGGGAGCATTTAAGCCGGCAATTACAATCTCGCATGGCCAACCCCTGAGCACTAACCCCTTTCGGCCGGCCCCAACCCCTGTAGCATGACGTGCGCTTGCTCACTGCCGCGCCCGCAACGATCTGAATTGCTGCGCGGTGTGCGCGCGCAGGCCGGAGCGCTGGGAGAGCGTGCCTGTGGAGACGTATGTCTGGGACGGCCGCGAGGGCGCCTCCGCCGCCGGCAGTGGCGCCGGCAGCGGGGACACCAGGAGCGGGGGCGGCGACAGCAGAGGCGGCGCAGCGGGCGGCCCTACGTGCGCCAGGAGGGGCATTACCTTCATGCCGTTCTCAGAGGGGCCGCGCAACTGCGTCGGCCAGTCGCTTGCCAAGATGGAGGTGGGCTTGAGAGCTGCGAGGCGGTTAGTGGCAGGATGGATACAGCCTCCTATTTGTGCTTTGCTGGTTGCAACAGTCTTGGCGTCAGTCACACTGGCATTGGCCCCGTCTGCTGTTTCATTTCAACGATGTTTATGTCAAACCATATGCGGCGCATGCGTGCACGCAATGAGAACCATCACATCACCCCGCCTCGCCGCTCACCCACCCCCCTTTGCGCATTACGTCTCGTGACGTCATCAGGTGATGGCGCTGCTGGCGAAGCTGCTAGCCAGCTTCCAGATCGAGCTGGCGCCCGAGATGGGCGGGCGCGAGGGCGTCAGGGGCAGGGAGAGCACCCACCTCACGCTGCAGACGGCAGGCACCAAGGGCATTCGCTGCCGCCTGCGCCCACGCAGCGACGCTGTGGGCGCAGGCCGCGCTAGCGCGGGCGCGCCAGCGGGCGCGTAAAGGTGACTCCGCGGCGTGTGGCAGAGACTTTTCTGGGACTGGTGGCGGCTGTGGCGTGGTGTGCACGTTGCCAGAGGCCTGCTGGCAGTTTGGGAAGCAATGACTCGAGCAGGAGTGGTTTGAAACGTTCGTCGTGGCACACCAGACAAAAACACACAGCTATCTGCGGCGGCCAACCCCATCCACAGTGGACACACTGTTGGGCTCTCGCGCCGCAAGGTGCACCGCCGCACTGTACGTTGCATAATCAATGCCTGCCTCAGCATGACTCGGGAGTCGCCAAGTTTGACTACATCCGTTTGCGAGTTTGACTAAACCTGTTTGCGAGGCTTGGGGATGTCAGGTTTGATGCCGGCACTTTACAGCTTCCTGCGCCGCTGCCTGGCACCCAAACATTCCGGCTGGTCGTGGGGACCGCATGCCTTGCTTGAACCCGCCTGTGCTTTACTAAAAATCCCTGCAGTGCACCCTTTACACACCGTCAAAAGGTACATGGTAGTTGACCGCCGCTTGCTTTGTTGCAGCTTCCAGGCCACTTCCTCATTGCTCGATCCATTGATTGTTCGAACAGGTGCACTGTCATTCCATGTTGACGAAGTGCTCCAACCCCCCAGCCCCTGGGGCCTCTCTGCCAGGATTAGGTGATTGCGTGCGCCAGCACTATTCCCCCGATTGCTGGCGCTTGCGCAAGCAGGTGTTGCCTGCGTGCATGGCGTACATAAAGGACGGAACCGCCACCCGAATGGCACTCATGACGGAAGACGAGTTGATAAGTTGCCTGTTTGCCTCCTTCTGTTGCTCAGTCTTGCCTATTGTCTGCCCGTGCGTGCGCAATGTGGCTTGCGTTTCATCCCCATGCACAACCCTAATTCGACGCACGACACACTGCAGATAGGCGAGGGCGTGCGTGCTTCACGCCAGGTAACAGTATTGCGCAAGGCGCTAGCTGAGCGCCCACGTGTGGGCGCAGGGGAGTGCAGGCCGCGGGGCCTGGGCAGGCGCGTGGCACAAGCCTCTGCCAAAGGGACAGAATCTGTGCTGAGAAATGCAGTGAAAGTGAATGCCGTTGAGGCACACGCTGCCAGGTCCAACAGACATGGGTTATGGTTCCAAGGCAAAAACAAAGATGGTCGGTGCTGTCAAAGTCAAGCACGGTGAAAAGGAGTCAATCAAAACCCAAAACAAAACCAAAATCAAAACCGAGGAACATAGGGCCGAACTTGAATTCGGAGGGTCTTGATGACACCAATTGCCGCCCTACCCGACCCCTGACTCCCCAACCACGGCTACGGGCCCTGCCGCCGCGTCTGCTGCCGGCAGCCGGTGTTGCGCCCCCCCCCCCTCCATTCGGCGGAGGCCGTGCTGTGCACGCTCCTGGATGCCGTGCGACCGCAGCCGGCGACAGGGGGGCTCACACCTCCTCCCACACGGCGTCATCCTCGTCAGCATAGCCCCCATCCTCCCCTCCACCGAC